TCCTGCCTCATATGAAGGAGTCAAGTGAGATGACGAGTGGAACAGGGTCGGTAAAGAAGATGGGGCCGGGCAGTTGTCTTGACTCGACGTGTGGGAATGGCGAGCACACCTGTGATGGACGATCATGCGTCAGGATACAGTCTTTCCAGAAAGAAGACCTAGTCAGCTGGTTTGAAGACATTACCGAAAGGGAGAAAAGTGAGATACAGATAGTGGCTGAGTGTTACGCGAGTACCACTGTGAACCTAGCAACAACTCTGGGATTCTTCTCAAGAATGTGTAGTCTCCAGTCACTGGAGAGGCTAGAGTCAGAACACCACTTGGTGACCGCGTTGAGCGTGGAGTCATGGCCCGGAGTGTTGCAAGTGACCCAGAAACACATCAAGAGTTGGAAGGTTGGACTCGAAGCGGAGATGGGATTTCCCATGAGCGAAGCCTATGGTCTGCCTCTAAATGCGAAGTCCCTGGTGGGGTCAGTGATGGCCAACCTTTGTGGCAGCCACTATCCATTACACATGGCGATGGTAGAAGTGTCCAGCCAGAGGGTATTGATAGACAAAGCCTTCTCAGTGCCCAAATGTGTAAGACTGGCTCGGATGTCACATCATTCACACAAGCTGTTGAGGAAGATCCGAGGAACGGTGCCGAAAGAACAAAGGGACGACTTGAGTGAAAACTGGGGCGAAGAACTTCTAGGCTTGGAGAGCGAAAATACAAGTGATCATGAGAGACAAAACGTGATTGGGAAACCCATGGTAGGTGCTCCAAGCTTGGAAGAAGTCGACGTGATACACGAGAAAATGATGGTACTTGAGCCTCTCCTAGAAGCCTCGGGAGAACGCAATCTTAGGAGCATCGACCTCACACACGGGGATTGTCCATGCCACTGTCTGGCGCAGACAGTGTGGTACCCAGACCACGCCAATCTCTGCCTGATCTGGGATGTGGAAGAAATCTGGTCATTGGGACTACCCGAGCATCAACAAAAAGTGACCATCTTGGTGGTGAGCACAATGCTGGCTCTACGAGGGATGGAAGAAAACATAGCAAAGTATCGGGAATCGAAGACGCCAACAGCAGAGTCGATTCACGCGATAGATTACAGCAGGAGACTTGAGTTGTTCGAGACCGCATCCAAGGTATTCGCCATACCAATGGAAGTCAGACACATGTGGTGACATCATGTTAACATCCTGGTTATATGTGGTGACGAAGGATCACATGAGGAAACATCAAAAGGAATATCGACAATTCCAGGCCGAGATAGGACTAGATACCTTCAAGAGACCTCTGCTGACCCATCGAAATGCGATCACGACGGGGTGGAAAAGAGTGGGTAGAGAATCCAGAGACAACACTAGAGCGAGGGAGTCGATACTGGAGGAGGACCTGGCGAAGAATGTAAGCCTGAGTCTGTTTGAACCGGGAGTCAAAGGTGAAGAGCTTACCGAATCAAGCGAAGAGATTGCAAGAGCAAAGGGAGTGGATGCGATCCTATGAACAGCTGAAGGCTTGGGAGGAGATTGTGATCAGCTCCGATGACGAAGAGGCACTATTGAAACAGATCACAGTGTCAAATATATCTGGGTCGGGTGCCTCGAGGGCGAAGAACACGAGGTGAGCCTGTGGCTCAAAAGGAAAATTCTAGAGTCTTGAGTCTTGAGAGGGAGGGGGCTCGAGGGTGAACTCGGATGAAATCTGAGTTCACGAAAAAGAAATTTTAACAAATGAGATATCGTTATTAATATGCTAGATCTATTATATGAATCAAAATGCTGCATGACAATTTCCTGATTGAAATAGGACGAAAGAAAATTTAAATTACCAGCTTAAAAAGCGAGAATTCATAGGTGCAGGTGTGTGCAGATTTTGATTGCTGTTTAGCGATAGTGTGAAAATTTTATATGGTTGTGAATTTTGGAAGGTAGATAAACTTGAGTCTGCTGCAAACTTCTGTAAATGACCACTGGCACTGTATCTTGAGTGACGCTCGGGCTTTTGGGGATTCACTGACAGAGACAGCACGCGATGAGGACATCGATCTTGAGTCCGGGGAGTATGTGCCAGTCGGTCATATCTGGAAAATTGACCTTGAGGGACACAAAAATACGTAATTTTGGGGTGAAGTTTTAATTTTCAAAATTTCGAATGGAGCTTGTCATGCTCAGTTTTCTCGCACCAACTGAAAACACAAAGTGAAAAATCAGAACGATCGAATTTACAATTGCGGGAAAATACTTAAGAAAACAGCAGGAAATTGCTATTCGCAATTTCCAGATACAAAGTAAGACACGAGTAGAGCTGTCTTATCCCGAAATAGGAGGAGAGATAGTAAAAAGAAGAGAGAACAACTATTCGAAACGAACCAGAGTGAACCTTCAATGGAAAGGTGGACAGCTTAAGTGTCCCAATGGTTCATACAAACTCCAATTCTAGAGTCAGAACTTACTTCTGTTATCAAAACTGATCAGTATTAAACTTATCTAGTTATATTATCTAATTCTTGAGTTGCTTATCAATCTAATTACTCCTTGTACTCGAGTGCATCAACATGTGAGTACCTAATTTAATTTTCTCGAGTGTGTTTTATGATTGTTATGTTGAGATAAGGCGAGTTTTAGGTTGATCCATCTGAAATGGATCAAAGTTCCACTGTCCAATAAAAAGTAACTTAACGAATTGTTCCGACCCTGTTCGTTCGTGTATTTTGGGTATTTTGAGACCTAAGTATGGGGACGTTCTTGTTTTCTTGAAGGGGGATTTTTTGGTAGTAGCCTTTAATCTGTAACGGGTTCTAGTCTCATGTAGCAAGCGAACCGAATTGGCTCCGACCGTTTTGAGGTAGAAAAACACAAGAGATAGTGTCCCTGACTCTTGAGCCAATGGTTATAGGGCCTATTTTTCTTAAGCCTCATATGTGACCGAAGTAGGCGACTGTTACAGGGATGCAACCCGCGACGACCAACTTTCCGCATATTGGTTATCCAACCACTGCTGACGGTTGATTTTCATGGCTTAATCATATTCTTCCCATGTTGACATACTGCGGAAAACCCGGTGAACAGTTCCTTCAATCACACTTCTCTTGTACTGAAGGGGGCGCAGCTTCTAAAATTGAGTATGGTACCTGTATCTGTTGGTTTTTGATACCACCCACAGCTAATTTTCCTGCTTTTGTCAATACTAATTTGTAAATCCAAAAATGCCAAAGTTCCGTTTGTGTTTGGTGTCTCAATTGTGAACTGTAAATTTGGATGTAGTAGGTTTGCAGCCCGTAGCACTTTTTCAGGATCACCCTTCACTGTTCTCACTTTATCATCAACGTAACGGAGAAACAATTTAGATTGTTGCCCTGACTTATTTTTCTCCCTTATTGTGATGCATTTTCTGCAGTACCAGACGTATTGTTTTAAAATACGGATGGCAACCAACCAAAACCCAATTCACATGTGCATGTGGTGCTGATTTTAACTTGACACATGCGCTTCACTGTGCAAAGGGTGGTTACACACACATAAGAAACAATGAAATTGGAGACACATTCGCCAACCTCATGAACGAGGTTTGTCATGATGTCGAGATTGAGCCGAAATTTCAGCCGTTGCAAGGCGAAAGCTTTGTCAACAATTCAACTACAACTGAAGATGAGGCACGACTTGACATTAAGGCAAACGGACTCTGGGGTTCACGATTCAGCCGCGCTTTCTTTGATGTGAAAATTTTCAACCCCCATGCCAAAACTTCGCGAAAACTGCATAGAATGCATACAAATACCACGAAACGCTGAAGAACTCCAAATATCAGCAAAGAATTTTAAACGTAGAGCAGAGTAGCTTCTGCCCGCTAATTTTTGGATGCACCGGTGGCGCTGCTCCTACAGCCACGCGGACGATGCAGCGATTGGCCGAAAAACTAAGTGAAAAAAGACAAGAAAGCTACCCAGAATCTATAAACTACATAAGAACTAAAATAAGCTTCGCGCTCCTGAGGAGCTCTATACTTTGTATAAGGGGGTGCAGAGCGCTACGCAAAGTTCAATTTATCGACAACTCCATAAGCGCTATTGTAGAGGAAGGACGGCTAAGATAAATTAACATTACGATGATGCATTTAATGCTGATTTATGACTTCATTGCTGATATATATGCATTTTTATATCGCTGGTATGGCCCTATCCAGCTGGTGCACTTACCGTAACTAAACGGAAGGGCCCCTTTTGTAATTTAGTTTTTTTTGTATTGCAAGTGGTGCCGAGCTGTTTGTCTTTGGGTATTTACGACATCCCAGAGCTATTTTTGACTAGATGAAAAAACAAAATCAATTAAAAGAAAAGAAAAGCACTAACATAATGCAAAAGTGTGTCATGCAATTAAATCAAAAATGTTCAATTACCAAAAGACTACAAAATGCCAATTCAAATGGCAGGGAATGTTGAAAAGTCTGGAATGATCAAGGAGTCTGGCGTTGATATGTGGCCGCGGAATTGAGGTAAGATGAAATGATCAAGGACGAGTTAAGGAACTTCACTCCTAAATTTAACGCCTGAACTTTCTGATTCCAACTCTTTCAGTGTTGAATATGGATTATTCATCCCGCTAGAAAATGGTGAATGTACAGAAGGGAGTTTTGATTAAGTGCGAAGCCAGCATGAAACAGTTCCTCGTTCACTTAGACGAGCAGTTGGCTCTCGGCGAGAGGTTCATAATTCAAGATCTAGACGATAATCATCTATTTGTCATGAGCAGTATTGTTCCAAAGTTACAGGCGAGGGTGGATGAAATGATGGAAAAGTATAGCTTTTCAGTGTACACAAACGAGTGAAAACTGTTTGTTGCTCTGTCAATTTGATTTGTTTTTGGATAAAAATTAGCAGTGTAAATCGATTTGTCCGTTTTTCTACATTTCTGTGTATATTAGATTGAATTTTTTAATGCAGCGTACATAATACTTTCTAAATGAAGTCGACATAAGTTAAATCACTTGTATGGATGACGGTTTTCAGATAACTAAGGATGCGGTCCGGCAATAACTCGCGGAACTCTCAAGCAGTCGTGACCGAGGCTTGGAATAAAATCAAAAATGGCATGGATGCTTGTTTCTTCGAAAAGTCGATGAAACGAGCAGATTGGATGGATCTTCAGACACAAGTTTATAATATTGCCATTGACGTAACAATCGGAGATGATTCCAGTAATGGCCACACCAGACCGGGACAATCAAGAAACAAAAAAGAGCCTATAGTCAATAAACGATGTGCTGATGTCTACGAAAAAGTCAAGAATTATTTCGAGGGTTATCTTCTGAAGCTTTCAGAGGTTCGTACAGGCAGTTTACTGTGTTTTGAAATGCAGATTCAAAGGATTCTAATTTAAAATTAAGACTTTTCATCGTTTGCTTTAAGCTGTTAATGTATTGCTCAATCAAGTTTTCAAAGTATTGCAATCAATCCGATTTTCATTCATGTAGTAATAATTGTCATACCTTCCAGGAAATCAAAACTCATTCGGGAGAAAACATGCTTCAATTTTACAAAGAGAAATGGGAATCATACGTAAAAGCCGCTTCGACTGTAGATGGTCTTTTCGAGTATGTGAACAGGACCTATGTTCAGAGACAGAAAGATCAGAATGCGATTTATGGATGTTTCAATATCCACGAACTGGCGCTGGTAACATGGAGAGACAATTTCTTTTTCAGCCTCAAACAGAGCGTAAGTAGAAAATTTCAAATGGAGGTATTTTCATCAACTTCCTGAAAAAGTGCTTGCCTTCTTTCGTTGAACGTACAGGCATTGAAAAGTGTAATACAGCAGTTATATTTCAAAAAAAACAATTTGACTAATAACATGTGCGGTACAGTTTTAACTTTGTTTGTTCCAGATAACAGCAGCTGTATTTCAACTGATTAGAAAAGAAAGGAATGGGGAGCAAATCAACACTAACCTTATATCATACGTGCTGCAATCGTTAGGTGAGAATCAAACCCACTTTCTGGTTTTCAAAAAAAGTGTCAATGAGTGAGTTTATTATTTGCGTTTTGATGTTTTAGTGAGACTCAGCATTCCTAATCCGTGGGAAGTATCGCGCCCATTACCAGCCCATGTGGGGAGTCCCAGTTCCATGAACACCTTTCAGAACCATTCGCCCCACCACCAGATAAATTCATCTGGAAACTTAAGTCCTCTGGGTAGAAAAGATAAAAACTCCTCACTACCTCCATCCACGTTTTTCTACAAGGACAACTTTGAAGATGACTTCATAAAAGAAACAGAAGATTTCTACATGAAAGAGAGTGAACAATTTATCAGAGAGCATTCGTTCACGGATTACATGATCAAGTCGGAAACGAGGTTCGAAGAGGAGAAAAGCCGAGTGGCCAAGTATTTGCACAACCAGACTGAACGACCTCTGATCAAAGCCTGCGAGAAGATTTTAATTGAGACGCACATTGATAGGTTCTACCAGGAATACACAGTTTTGCTGCGAGACCACAAAATCGAAGGTCTGCAGTCATCAAATAATGATGCGCAATATCTTTTGCTAATTTTATTTTTTATTCGAGTTTGGAGGTTGCAAAAAATCATAAGATAAATATTGCGCTTGTACTTTGAGGAAAGCACTTGAAATTGTTGTTCCGAACTTTGTATTCGGGTGTACTATAGTTTTTTTTTCCACACAAAATCAGCCATCACAAATAATCATCGGAGCGAGTTGAGTGGTTTATCTTATTAAAGTCATTTGAGTTGTGATTCGAACGACACAACAAAAATTTTAAAAAATTCTCCAAGTGTCGAGAAAAACTGGTGTCGAGAAAAATTCTCCAAGTGTCGAGAAAGACCTTAAAAGGCAATCGGAACACTCAGGGCTTCTTCGCCCTGATACGAGCTGTCTTGTTGATCTTATGCACATACTGCAATAAAAGAACACTTTCAAAACTTATGAGATATTGAAACACTAAATACAACAAACACCGAATACAAAACAAACAACAAATGTGGGATGAACCATTGATGATTGAAAAGAGAGGGGGAATGCACTAACAGCAAAGGAACAAAGGAGCACCAGAATTGGGAAGGCAAAAACGTAATAAACTGCACAAGACTAGATGGCCCGACTGACAATCATAGTGGCGTTTCCTCTCATGAGGCACACTGAGAGGCTCTGGAGAAGTCGAACTGGGGCAACACGAGCGTCACGTGAACCAGAACGTCTGGCATCAGCGAGGATAGCAACTGACTTGAGGGTTTTGATAGCTAAAGCGGACCAACCCCCGAGCGTTTCGACTGCTAACGGGAAAAAACTGATTCCTTGTTCCTCACAGTTTTTCTCGTGTTTCGAAAATTTGCGGTCATCAGCAACTTCCAGGGACGCCCCGGGGGTCTCCGCCGCACGAGAGAGAAGAGATAACTGCAGCGGGGATGTCACGGTGACGTCGAAAGCAGCTGGGCGACCAGCGCTCCAAGTAGGGATAAAAATATCGCCGGGTTTGGACCGTTCTCCAGGGATGAGGTTCCGTTGCTCCTTGATGGGGGCTAAAGAGGCAGCCGTGGTAGCATTGAAAATAATGTCCCGTAGTCTGTCGTGACGGGAGATCCGGCCACCACTCCCCCCACAAGCGACAGCGTGGTCCCCGAGGACGTCCAGAATGCCAGACGGACACGCGGGGCACCTACGAGCAGACGCGAACACAGGAAGACCAAGTCGGTATCTGACAGCAGCTCGGAACTCAGCAGGTAGCAGGTGCAGGCCAAGACCTTTAATGGGGACTGCGGTAAGCCAAGCGCCGGCGTAAGGCAGAGAGAGCGACTGAAGACGAGCTTGCTCGCGGGAATCGGGAAGAGACGAGAAGAAAGCGTTGTAGGTGGCCTTATCAAGTTTCTCTTGGAAAGCTTCTTGAGTAAAACCGGGAGTGTTAACGCTTCCTGACTGTTCACGGAAGTCGTTAGAGGCACGCAGGAACTCCGGCGTATCAGTGATGTCGCATTCGGTAAGAAACGAGACCAAATGAGCTGACTGACACGAAGACCCTAGGAAGGCAGGGATGTGTTGGTCGCGACATTGCCGGACGCCAAGTCCGCCATCTTTGATAGGCAGGGAAGACTGGGACCAGGCAAGATCAGGAACAGGTGAGCCAACTTTGACAGAAAGAGCATCGCGGAGGAGTTCATCAAAAACTTGCAGGGAAGCTGCGACAGGCTGAGAGGGCGGCTGAGTGCGAAGAGAGAACGTCAGCTTGGGAGCAGCAAGGCAAGTGCGAGTGATGCCAAGTGAGAGCTGGGGGTCATCAAGAAGAGGTAACTTTTCAAGACATTTGGTGGCTTTCGAGATGCGTTTGTCCAGGACTTTAACTGAGAACTCAGTATCACCAATGGGGGCGCCAAGAAGCTCGAAGCCATTAGACGCTGCTCTCGGGATAGAAACGGGGATGGACGAGAACTCCACAGGGGCCCACAACTCACACTTACTGTGCTTGACTTTGAGGCCGAGATGCAAGCCGTTGGAAGTGATGAATTCGGGAGCCTTGAGCAAGGAGTCTTCGTCGCCGGCACAAATACCATCATCAAGGTACCAGCAGTTAAGGGTGAGACCGGGGACTTCCGACTTGAGAGATTCGACAAGAGAGTGCAGGGTGACCGCAAAAATGAGAGGCCCTAGCGGATCCCCCTGTTGAACTCCTTTCTCGCTGTTGAGAATGACATCCTCGAACAGCAGATTACTGTGGTGACCGTAGGTAAACTCAACAAAGGCGGAGAGACCGGGAAGACGGTTGCGAACTTGAAGGAGGATCTCGGTGCGGTCTAGCGTGTTGAAAGCGTTCTCAAAATCCACTGTTAAGACGCCTTGGTGACCATGTTCCGAGGACTTTTTGACTGTCATTTAAGTAGCGTGGACGATGGCTTCCGAGCCACCGCTGGTAGCGACTCCAAGCTGGTGAGGACACAGGAAATCACGAGCTTCAGCGTTGGCGGCTTTAGCAAGGCATTTAGCAGTGAGCCTTCGGAGCACTTCGCCGACCGCAATAGGCCGGACACCATCCTTGGGTTTAGCGGTGGCAAAGAGATTCGCACTGCACAGCCACGGAGAGAGACTAGAAGGGGCTTGCCCGGCAGCGAGGATGTTAACAACCCTATTGAGAGACTCTAACGTTCTGGCAGCAGTCTGAGGAGTGGGGCATTCAACGGCGTGAACAAAGTGCTCTGGAAACCAGCGCGAAGGACCGGCAGCAGTGCCGCTCGGGAAACTTTTGAGAGACTTATGAACGAACTCAGATTCGAATTGGTAGACAAGAGGGGATTCATCCCGGCCAGAAAAGACAGGAGGGTCAGCGGAAGGATGAAGACTGCGAAGGTCCTTAAGCGACTCGTCACTTTTGGACACGAGGCCATCGGAACACAGGGCCATCGGAACACAGGGCAAACGTATTGTTTCAAAATGAACAATAATGTTTGCAACTTAGGTTCGAAAAAAGAGAGTTCATACTATAACACAAGCGTTGCTTGTGTAAATAGCTAACTTTCATATAATGAACATTACTTGATCGCGTTTTTAGCTCGAAACTGAATCAAAAATTTTTGATTTTTGGTTCAGTTTCGAGCTAAAAACGCGATCAAGTAATGTTCATTATATGAAAGTTAGCTATTTACACAAGCAAAGCTTGTGTTATAGTATGAACTCTCTTTTTTCGAACCTAAGTTGCAAACATTATTGTTCATTTTGAAAGTGTTCTTTTATTGCAGTATGTGCATAAGATCAACAAGACAGCTCGTATCAGGGCGAAGAAGCCCTGAGTGTTCCGATTGCCTTTTAAGGTCTATTGAGCAGTTATAACATGAAAAAATTACATGCATTAAAAAAAACTATTTTTTTAATCTGAGATTTTTGCGAAAAGCATCCCCCCACACGCCATATAGAAAACAAAGTGATAGATTTCGCTCCTAGTAATAAATCAATTATGGCTAATAAATAAGCTTCCTTCAACCAATTTGGAGAATGATTTCTAAGACGGATTAAATCTCCACTTAGACGTTAATAGCGCGAAATATATCGCGCGTTAATTGTCCCAAATGGCCAAAATTGCCATCTTCAAACCCCCGTAAGCTTACAAAAAACAAACACATGTGAAGTTTTTTTTTAGAATTCAGCCCAAGGCAATAATCTTTAGTTTATTATTCATTTTATGGAAATAAATTTTGTCGGTTATACCTAATTTATGGGGGTTGAGAAATTAGACGATAAGCAAATTAGACGGAGGTACTTAAAAGGAAATTAGACGGTTTTGCAAAACTGCAATTGTGAGAAAATAGACGAAAGTGAGAGAAATTAACATTGTTTGCACACAAATTGTGTTAGAAAAATAAAATTGTTTGTAGACAACAGTTCAATTTCGGTGGTCAAAAACTTTACAAGTCAATCATGCATAACTTATTCAATTCAAAACTCTCCGGTAATATTCAGATTTGACATTTTATGTTCATTTAAACTAATTGTTTTGATAGTTATTGACATTTTATGTTCTTTTTGTATGCGTGAAAAAATTTTGTTGGCCCTTTCCTTTTCATAGCTTTTTCGTCTAAAATAAAATGCCAGATCTGTAAAAAAATACATTCCGTCTAATTTCGTTTTTGTAGTATCCGTCTAATTTGCTTATCGTCTTATTTCCTAGGCCCCCTAATTTATTATTCTCTACGCTATCGAATAGTTCTCGAATCAAACCACCCTCTAAAAACGACACTAATTTGACGAAAATTGGAAAAAGTTTTTTCCCCGTTTTTTCAATATGGCCGGAACATTCTGTCAACAGTAACCGGCTATCCTTGTTTTTCTATCGGTTTTGTACGGTTAAATGAGATCGCCACTATATCTTGTTGTTTCAGACTTGTCTCGAGTGTACCGACTGTGCTCGCGTGTGAAGGACACTTTGGAGCGACTGCAGGAGATGTTTCAGGAACATGTCACTGCCAAGGGAGTGGAAGCCATGGAAAATGTACTCGGTGAAATGGAGAGAAGCAAAGTAAGCTTCCAAACTGTATGAGCAATATCAAACATTTTTTTTAAATCGCAGAACTTCAAAATCAGAAGTCGACATGTAATTCTCTGTTTAAAAAATTGTATCTCCAATATGTCCTTAATCGGCATTTTCTAGCAGAAAACTGTGCAATCATTTGTAGCTTTTATGAAGAAAGAATCTCATTAAAAGCTTAAAATTGAGTATTTGAGTAAAAATAAAATTAGCTGAATATCCACTTGAGGATCTTTGCATTGGTCATTACAAATGAACGCCTTGCATGAAAAGCACTTTAGTTTGGGTTCAAAAATGTCTGAAATTGAATATAGTCTGAAATAAAGTGCGTGTTTTTTTTTCAAGAAAGAGTTAATCAAAGTCAAATTAGGGGTCTCAAAGCGATTTATTTCTACATTGTAGACCTCTGGCAAATCGGAACTGCCCAAACAGTACGCTGAGGGAATAATCTCAGTGCACAAACAGTTCACAGAGCTGATTCACCGTGCATTCAGTGATAATGCTGGATTCATAACCGCACTGGACCTGGCCAACGAACAGTACATCAACCGAAATGCAGTTACCAAACAGCAAGCCACACAAAACCAGGTATGTATTAACCATTTTTACACTTCGAGCTAAATATAATTGCTCATCATTTGGTGGAACTTATGCAGCATTAGCATTCTATCTGGTTTAATTTTGCTGCACTGACATTATATCTTTGTATCTGGTTTATTGGTGGCTAGTGTTTATACAAGCAAAGCTTGTGTGATAGTATGAACTCCCTTTTTCAGCCTAAGTCGTAAATATTATTATTCATTTTGAAAGTGTTCTTTTATTGCAGTGTGTGCATAAGATCAATAACCAGCTATTAAGGACAGTCATTGCTACGGATATTAACACATGCTATTATATTACAAATAGCATGTTATCTTCAAAGTTTCATGGATCTGTAGCGTAGAGGTAGGTAAGGAGACGCGCAACAAAATGAGAGAGTTCGAACCTGGGCAGGGTAGGATGTTTTTTGATGAACTTTTTCGTGTACTAGTTAAAACGCGTCCGCTCTATAAATTGAATCATCTTAGTGAGTAAATTCCTTTTTTTCCAAATTGACTGGTACTGCTAATGCGTCATAATTGGCTTGCGTCAATGAGCAATTATGTAGACTCATAATTGGCGTGCGTATTTCAAGAAATTGTGTAGACTCAAAGTTTTACTCATTCAAGTATTCCCAGTAGCGTTATCGGTCATATTTTTGCTTGTGTATGCGAGGTGCAACTTCGCTTCTGTTTAAAAATTGTCAAACGACCAAGGCGGAAGGACTTGTGACTCTTAACCACGAGGTCGGTGGCTCGCGTTTGGTACATAGAAGAATTTTTATTTTACTGTTTTTTTTTCAATCTCTGACCCTTTTAGAGCTGCTTTTTGCCGTTATCTCGCTGGCGTTTGCAAATTGCAGCTGCGTCTTTGTGTTACACTCTCGAGATTTTTTTGTAAATCTGTGAAAAGTATGTGCAGTTGCTAACAGGAGCAAGTGCATGTTAATGTGTTCAAATTGTTGGAAGTACAGATAAAACTACCTAGTTCAAATTGTTTTTAAGAACGTTTTTAAATGAAAGTCTTTTTGCATTCGTGGTTTTGTTTCAAATTTTGTCGGCTTAATTTAAGATTTTTTGACATGTCAGAGGTATTGTCTAATACAGCGTGGTATTTACAGAGTTTTTGAGCTGATGACCAATTGCTAACCAATTTTATTCCGATTTATAAAAAGGATGGAATTAAATCCTTGGTGTAGTTTATTTTTCGGGCCAATTTTGATTTTTTACAGAACAGACGAACAGTTTTGAAGGAATTTTAAGAGTCGATGAACCTGGCTCAGACTCTTTTTTAGGTTGGGATGATGTTTTTGTCGTTTTTTCAGGAAAAGTATTCAAGTTTGTTCAGGCTCCAAATTACTTTTCGCGGTTTTATTTTGAAAAGATTTTGAAAAGGAAGGCAAACTCCGCTCTTGAACAGCAAAAGTGCAAAGGTCACGAGAAACTTCTAGTTTCGGAAATGAAATTTAGTTTTCAGATTTTCCCAGTACCTATTGATAAAGTTTTCTCCAATTTTTTCTTCGATTTTCGAAAGTTGGCAGTATTTTTTAAATTTAATCTGAATTAAATCGAAAAGAAAAATTAAATTTGAATCCGATTTTGTCAAACTGTAGTTAACCACTCCGCTCGTAGAGCGGTAAGGAACTACTGCGTATGGCGGGCTTTTTTTTCATATAGTGGCTTCCTCAAAGAAAGTTGGTGTGGGTGTCAAGTAGGGGTATTGTCTTAAAAATTTCTCAGTCGTCATTGTGAATCTGAAACTCAAATTTGTCTCAAATAAACTCAAAAATGATTGGGGCATCATTTTTTTGGTTTTTTAAACTAGATATCAGTTTATAATTACTGGCTAAACTCAAATTCTACGATACACTCACGTTGTTTTACCTGATGTTACTCGTTATTTGTTTAATTATTTATCTAGTTCAATTGCGCGTTACCGAATAAGCTACAGATTTTTTCATAAACATTTTTTTGATTTTTTTGCTGATTTTGTTCGTTATCGAATATTTCTTTTTAATCACTAGTCGGAGCATTCTGCTGATTGCAATACAACCGACTATCCTTGTTTCATTTTTGATTTTCCTTCATCATTTTTTTGTATTGCAAGTTATGAGCGTTTAGTCTGTGTTAAAGCAGGCTTTTAGATCGAAAAAAGTACCAGATGCGTTTTTCATTGTCAATGAACGAAGACACTTAATTACGTTGTTCGAAAAAGTCTCACTTGTTCACGCTCAAATTTCCAGATTTGAATTCGATTTGTTTTCAAGTTCTTTTGAATTTAAATTTCTAAATGAAAAAACAGTAACGCTCTTCTATGTTAGAAGGGCTAATAGCGCAAAAAACCTGATAAACTTCAATTAAAAAAGTGAATTTGTTTTAGATTTATCAATTGAATAAATATTATCTATAGATAATTTTTCTATCAAATTGGGATAGGTTTATCAATAAAATGTCAACCAGAAAAGTTATTTGGAATTGACTATTCTTTAAGGTGACATTTTTTCTTTGAAACTCTGAAGTTGAAAAAATTTCAAGAAAATATGATCATTTTTTGATCTCCTAAATTGCATTGACGTTTTTTTCTTCTGTCTTTTGGCTATGTTTGTTTCGTTTCTGTTGAAGTCTTTGGATGAGTGCATTAAGGTTTAAGTTTATTTATACGGCTGTTCACTATTCGAGATAATCAGTCGACATGAATTTTCAGATGGTTTGGATGTTTATTCGTTCTTGATATATTTCCAATTCGATTGACATAATGATGGAAACGTCAACCTTTTTAAAAAAAAAGCGTTTATTTTTGCAGTGTTTTGGGAACCATATTGAGTTTTATGCGTCTTTGCTTAGGTATCTAACAATCCTCAAGCTAGGGGCGGAGCAGATCCCTCCAAATCGGCAGCAGAACTTCTTGCGCAATACATCGACTCACTTCTAAGAGTTAGTTCGCGTAAAGGAGATGATAACGACCTTGAAGAACACATGCAGGATTCCATGATGATTTTCAAATACATCTCAGAAAAAGACGTTTTTGCGCGACAGTTTTCGAGGCATCTTGCAAATCGGCTCGTCAGTGGAAGTTCAGTATCTGATGACGCCGAGCAAAGCATGATTGAGAAGCTGAAAAGCAATTGTGGGTTCGAGTACACGAGTAAGTTCCAGAAGATGTTCACAGATGTGAATCTGTCCAAGAAGTTGAGTGATGAGTTCAAAAACCCTTCAGTGGTGCTAGACTTTGACTTCTCAATAATCGTGGGAACGAGCGCGTCGTGGCCATTCAACACTGTCAAGGGATACATGCTACCAAAAGAGGCGAGTAGACCAATTCATATTTTAAAAAAGTTTTTAAAAAATCTTTCGCTAATTTGACCTGCGCCAAAGTGCCGACACTTGAATTCTCGCAAATTCAGGAAAGTTTGATTCACTCTTTTTGCAATCATGTTCAGCAAAATTTTGTTTCAACGCTAAACATGTTTTTTTTCCTGGATTGGAATCCTCGGCCTACTGTTACTTCGCCGCCTCTGTCGCTCGAAAAAAAATAATGGGTATTCCGTATTGTTGCAGCGTATATAATAAGTACCAATAAATGGAACAGAAAGACTTAATTAAAACTAGCAATCTGCAGATTTAACTATTTATAGAACATTTTCCAAGAAACTTTTATTTTGTAGGTGAACTTGAGACATAACTTCTGTCTGAAAAATTAGCATTTGCTCTTCAACTGTTGGTTATTTGTTCTTTAATTAGTTCTGTCTGTTCCAATCTATTACAACTTTATACAGCTGTCTTAATATTAGAGCAAACGTTAGACTGGATGGCCTAGACATGGCCGTTCGATATGGGTGATGCGACTGGTGAAACAAGTTGGACTGAAAGGCCTAAGCAAGTAGACAAAAAACAAACATTATTGGGGAATTGGGCTTGAGTTCTCTCATTCTTAATTAGGTTTCTTGACTACCAATGTTCTTTTTCCGAGAATTGGACCAAGTCTAAGCTCGTGGTAAAATAATGTAAACAAAATGCGAGTGTATTCAACGCTTTGCATGCGCTTTTGAAAGAAGGCCTTTAATGCTATCATCAACTTTCAAAGATCCCTTAGATGGTTGGACAAACAATGCAGGATATAGATGCTTCTGCAATGTACAAACCAAGGATTTTTTGAAAAAAAAGTAGCAATTTGTTATTCTGCATCGCATATTTTTCTCGCGGAAAGTGCGGCATTGCGATATTTCTTAGCTCTGAAAAGCAATAGAAATTTCATTTGTTTCATAGTTGTCTTATGAATTTGCCCAGAACCATGTTTAGATGTCAATGAACGCAGTGAAGACGCTTGTATAGGTCATCATCATTTTTTTGGTAAAAGTCTTGAAAGTTGTTCACATTCAACTTTGATTTTTTGATATTTATTAAGTTCAGTTCATTTCTTTTAAATTGAACAGGAAAAGTGTAAAGGTTACAAAAACATGTCTTGGAATTGTAGTTTCAAAAGTCCTCCCCCCCCCCCCTCAGGGATTCGACCCCCTGCCTGCGACCCAAAAGGTCTCCCCTTTGGTACTTTTTAAGAAATCCATTTTTGGCCGACCGACCCTAAAATTTTTCTAAAGGCGCCGTTGTCGCCAATATGCCCCCCACTCCCCCTCGAGAAAATCCTAGATCCGCCCCTGCTTTTATCCTTCGAAAGTTGAAAATTAAAATTAAAAAAAAAACATTTCCTTGCATTCATTTCTTACAGTTTGCTGTGTATGTATTTTTTTAAGCGGAGCTTTAATTTTAATCAAGGTGAAAATGGAGCTTACTTTGCATATTCACTCCGAAATATAATTTCCAGAATTTTTTGTTGCTCCAGGGAAAAGTCTTACGTAATATAAATTTTTTTGGAAGTTGAAGAAAGTCAAATCTTTTGTTTCCGGGTCCCGTGAGTTCATGCACTCTTTTCGAACAGTCTGGTGTTGGCTATGTTCATAAAATGGCAGCCAAATTATGTCCAGATTTTCACTCAGCACTCTAGTGATGAAGTGTGTTCAATTCAAGTGAAGGAAATCCAGAAATATATACGTGTCCAGAAATCAGTAACAATTTCATTTCTCTCTGAGCTCAAAGAGAATGGACTAGAACAAAGACAATGGATTAATCCTATCTAATTTTTGATTTTTAATTCGAAAAGTAAAGCAAAAAGAAAGAACCAAAGATAGAGGGAGCAAATACGGAATTGAAGCGATCATATGTAATAACAAGACTGCTCGTAGCAGGGCAAAACGCTGAATAAACGTCTGCTTTTAAATTGATCTCGGATTATTTGGTGAATCAAATAACGGTAAAACTATGAATTTTAGGCTGTTTAATATAAATGAACAAACTGAAGCCACTAGTTGGGCTTTTTTTTGGGAAAAAAATCTCAAAAGGTATTCACGCTCAAATTTTTTTTGAGATTTGATTTTTATTTTTTTTTTCAGCTTACGTTAAATTCCTTTCGCAATGAATAGGAAATGATATTGTCTAAGAAGCAAGGGCAAACGAAAGTTTGTATCATCGTTATAGAGACATAAAACAAAGGTTTCAAATATTTTTCCATGTTTCAATTTTTATTACATATCGCTTCGATGCGGTATTTGGTCTCACGTTACAAGAGTCGATGGACGTAGTTCAGACTTATAAATATTTCGTAATGATTTTTTTGCGAAGTTTTTTTTCAGGAAAATTCTTAGTTTGTTCGGGCTCATGTATTTTTTCGCGGTTTGACTTTGGTTTCTTTTCATTTTGAACTCATTTCCGTTATTGAAAGGAAGTCGCTTTTCTCCACTATCGAACATAGAAAGTATAAAGTTCACCAAAATCGACATCTATTCTCGAAAATGGTCCCCCCTTTTTAACTCTAAACAACTTAACACCCTACAATTTCACTCCCTACTTTTTGTTGCCTTAGCAATATAACATTGCTACATTTTCAAACAATTTCTATGACTTAACACCGTTTTAATCCAAAATGAAAAGAAAACTTACTTCAAAGGGGATTTCGGTAACCATCAAAGAATTAAACGAGTGAAATTTTTGCCATTTAAAGCCAGACAAATTCGCGCTACTTAATTCGCGTAAGTTTTGAACAGAAATGACCTTGCAAATGATTTCAATGTAACGTTTCAAACCAAAATGAAATGGCCTTGCCAATATTTTCAATGAATCATTCCAAAATGAACCAAAAAGAAGCAATAGTTCAATGAACTTCAAAAGCCCGCAAATAATTAGACGTCTTTTGACTAATATGGCCTTATTTTCTAGACATTTTCAGCCGGTATAGAAATTTAAAAAAGGTTTAACCAATGCCAAAAGCCTTAAAATCATTGTTTTTAGAATCATTCTCGAACTTATAAACATATGACCTGATCGCTTTGTCAGCTTTTTTTGAACTGTTGGCACATGAACGCAAAGCTAAAGGGTTTGCCAGCCCGTAGTCCGAACCTAGCATCCCGAAAATAAGGGCGATTGTCCTGGGATTAAATTGCTAAGGCACGAGTCATGTTCTTGCGTTTAGTTACGTTTCCGGGAGTCGGCAAGGAAACGTCTTTTCAAAAAAAGCTGACACAAATTTCAGTAGCATTAAAATTTGAATTTTAATAATACGAAAGAATAAACCAATATGAAACAAAATTAACAATGGTTCAACACAAACTAGATAACACTCTGAAAAAGTACAGATCAGTTTTGTCTTCGTAAACGGACATGTTTTGTACTCTTTTATTTAATACTCGATACTTTTTCTTTTTTGTGAACTTATGGCCACTCGATGCATCAAAAAAGTTGAGTTTTTGTACGGAAGCGTCTTTTTGTAGGCTGCCCACTACTTTCTACATATTTGGGTGGGCTCCGCTGAAAAATTATTGAATCCCGAAATGCCATCCCTCGACAGCATTTGTTGTTCGAGCAATCCCCATCACGGCCGCTCGCTGGTTCCAAAGGGAGGGTGGAAATGAAACTTCACGGTTTATCACCAAGCTTTTTATATAAGTAGAGCCGAAGTACAGACACAACTCGTCAATTTTCTCAATTTTCTCGGGTTCTAAACAATTTCTGTCGCATACATTCTGAATTTCCTGAACGATCATGTCATAGGAATCGCCGATCTTTTTTTTTTTTTTCGAATGCAAAGGATGGCAGCAGTTTTAAAGCCAGCGCTAATGCGTGATTCGTTTCGTAGGTCACTTTCAGACCCAATTCGTTAATTTTCTCATGTAACTCTGGGAGAGATGGAAAAAACAACCCGATAAATGTGCTTCGGGGAATGTTTTTTGGAAGCACTGAAGAGCAGCTTGCTCAAAATCTAACCAAATTTTTTCAGGCCGGCAGTTGGGTGCTAAATCAATAAACGCCTGCAAGAAGCGATTGTAGGTTTTTTCGGTTTTGTTAGGAAGGAAGGCGTAAATGCAAGCTGGCGCAATGCCAGATACACTAACATGAATTGAATATAGCTGATAGAACATTTTTGGAGTAATTTTATAAGTTCCATCGGCTAACCAGAAAGATGACTTTGCCAGAACTCTCAGCATTTCGGGGTCGCCGCACAAAATGATTCGCTCATGATCATTTGATCCACTGTTAAAATTTTCAGGGATCTCGAAATTTCGCGCAACGGGGATGGGCGGCATATTTACATCTAGCTGCTTACGAGTGCGCGCAGCCGTTCGGACCAGTTTCTCTTTACTTGGGAGGGCAAACTGAGTGGCCAAATTGTTTGTAATTGGCAAAACCGCACTGGCAACTGCAACAGTCGGGGTAAATCTCTCGCTGAGATCTTTTATATGCTTTATGACATTTCGGGCCTCCGAGTTTCCCGCTGAAATGTCGTGGTTATGCTCTCCACGCGTCTCGATTAATTCGTTATTTTCAGTAATGGCAGTTGCTCAACATTTATGTGGTTGATATTTTGAGCAAATTCATATTTCTGTAAACTTATTTTTTCGCTTGAAATAAAATTCATGGCCGGACGCTATAAGAATTGGCTTGTTTTTAGATGAAACTGTGAGCTCGAAAGAAGACTCAATCATAATGTGTTTGTTGTGTTTGCGTTTGTTTATCACTTGAGTAAAGTATAAAGTGACTGTCAGAATTTAATTTTTGTCAGAATTTTTACGTCAAATTGTTATAAATTAGCACAAGCAGGTTTAGCGAAAAGTCTAATTGAAAATAAATTACAAACTTGTAGATAAGGGTCTTAAATAAATTAGGAAGCCTCCTTTTAGCATGTATAACTAAGATAAACCAAGTTTTTCATTATGGTGCGTGTGTTAATTGCAGGATTAACTTTGGTGTGATAAGAGTTAAGATAAGGAATTCATACAGCATCAGTTTTAATAGTGAGATGACTAGGTGTTAAACTGGAAAATTGGAGTTATATTGTTGTCGATTTAAATTGTTTAGTAGTGAAATGACTAAGTGTTAAAATGTACGGTGTTAAATTGTATGTCATTAAATTGTAGGACACCCTCGAAAATGGATTTCCCCAGAATTCCCAGCAAAATATTAAACTTATCTTTTTATCCTATTTTTTCAAAGTGGGTTTATGTTATCAAAAAAGCGTATCTAGAAATTCGAAGAGCTTTGAGGCCAAGTCTTTTCAAAAAACAAGTCAGTATATATTTTTTCGGTTTCCTTGCATTCATTGAGTCTCTTCCAGCTGTCTGTTGGCAATGTGTATAAGTTTCAATGCAAATTTTGAGACCTTTTTTGTCGCTTATTTTTGAATCTATACCCAAAAGTTAGATTGATTGCGGCCATGTTTTATTACAGTTATCATGCCAGTTCTAACAACTATTCATGGTAGTAAAAGAAGCTAGCATAAATTATGGTTTTCAAATTTTAAATGGATTCTATCCGTTGAGCCAAGTTCTTTATCAGATATTTTAGAAATTCCGTAGTAGTTTTAACAAGATTAAGATTTTTTCATAATGCTCGTTTGGTGTAATTATTTCAGTTTTCTTAGTTTTTAAACTTGTTGGCTTTGATTTTGCTTTTTTTCCTTCAGTGTAGCTTCGTTTCTTTGTAAACCCTAGTTCCCTGTTGGTTTGAACAAACAGTAGTTCTTGAAGATAATATACCTGGGTGCCATTTATCTTTTAATTGGGTGCCATTTAGTTTTGAAAATTTATCGTCATGGCCGTGTTATCCTGTCAAGGATGTTGTAGCCACAATTTATTTGACGTTCGTTACTTTCCAGTTCCAATCGACAGTGGAGAAGTTCAAAATGTTCTATAACCAGAAGCACGCCAACCGCAAACTAGACTGGCAGTGGAACCGGTGCAAGGGAGAGATAGCTACCGGCTGCTTTCAGAAACCATACTTCTTCGTTGCCTCCATGTACCAGGTAAAATGAAATTGATTTATAGCTCTTGGATAGTCATGTTATTTTTTAAGAAGACATTTAAGAATTATTTTAAAGCCTAAGAATTTTTGTAAGAAGACATTTCTCTAATTAAAATGGCTCTCTGAAATACTTTATCGAGTAAAATGAAAAACTGAGTTAAATTAAGGTAGGTTCACAGTTGTCGTCTACTCACCTCGGTATTTCGACTCAGGCTCAGGTTGTGTATGTTTGAATCTTTCAAATAGTTCTTGGATAAATAATTCGTTTATTTTCGTTAAGATGGGAGTTCTGCTCCTGTTCAACAAGTCCAAAACAGTCACGATGGACAGCATCATTGCCGAGTGTGGGATCCCGAACGAGGACAGCACAATCCAGGTGGTGCAGCAGTTGGTCAAGTTGAAGATACTGACCAGTGCGGGTGATGAGAAGGAGAAGGAGACGGAGATATCTGTGAGCGACTCCTACCACAAGTGAGCGATTTGAACAAGCTTTCTTTTTTTCGAAGCTTCTGCGTGTTTGTTATCTAGCTAGTCTCGCATGACTTGTCAACGATTGTCGATGGATGTTGTTATTTTGGCGCTTGCTGGAACAAAAAAAAATCCGCAAAGACGATATAATTAACTTAACAATCAAATAGTCTACTAGTTATAATTTGAAAGCAAGCGGGATTTTCAAACTCGTTTTTGTTTCAAGTGTATATGTTTGACCAAAGTGTGTATGATCTGTACATGTTGTTTTTGTTTGTTGTAGTAAGAAGTTGAAAGTGCCAATCACGATGCCCCTGAAGGCGGAGCAGAAGCACGACAGGGCACACACGGACAGACAGGTGGAGGAGGACAGGAAGAATGTGATACAGGCGGCCATAGTCAGGATCATGAAAATGAGGAAGAAGTTGAACCACAACCTACTCGTGCAGGAGACCATAGACCAGGTTAGTCCTGGTAGTCACGCAAGATCCCCCCATCTCCCGCATGGCCTTCAAAGCTCAAACATTACATTATGATAGTTTCCAAGTATTTTTGTGAAAATGTCATAGTATTTAGGTCAAAAGGTTCTTCGTTCATACATTAACAACTTGGCTGAAAGATCAGGTAGTATCAACATATGTAAGATGCGGCTCAGCTGAAGTAACTATTTTCTAAATGTAACAACTGTACGAAAACGTATTAAGTAATTTAGCAATCACCTGCACATTTGAAATAATTTCTTAAGTCAACTGATGCGACAACAATCATGAAATCGGACAAATCAAGTTAAAATATGCTGAAAAGTTTACCTGTCATGCAAAACAACGTTGTCGAATAGCAAAAAAAAATTTTTGAAATACTTGCCTGTTAAGAATTCACACCAAAAGTTGTCCTCAAGTGGCGAATTTAACCCAATCATTAATGGTGTCTTTATTTTGCGATACTTTCAATGAAGTTCATTGTTGCAGGTCAAGTCCCGTTTCCAGCCAAGTGTGAACTCAATCAAGAAGGAAATAGACGCCCTGATTGAGAAGGAGTTTCTGAAGAGATCGGAATCGGAGAGAAGCTTCTATGAATATGTAGCTTAGATAGATGTGGTGTATATAGAAATTAGATATACATACAGCAAATCAGCAATGAGATTGTCATTGAGACGAGTAAGCGAAAAACTACTACCTCTGATGTAGCTACATGAGTGAGCTCTTCAAAAGCCCCCTCCCCCGTAGCCCCAAAGTTATAGTTAGCTATTGGCATCATATCTTCTTTTGATATGTAGAAACAACACTATTTTTCAAGCAAAGTACAGAAGTTTAACAGTTTTGATAGAAAGTTGAAAAATTTATAAAAACTGTTCTGTAATTTGCAATGTATTATACAGTTGTTTTTGAGTCAATGTCCATAATTTCACATCGTACTTCGGATCTCGTTTGTAAAATTATGACCGTTAATCCGAGCAATGTTGACGGTTAAGTAGAATTGCTACCAGCTTAATCCGAAAATATTTGTTTTCAAAAGACAAGTAGTAATTCATCTTAACCAAGCTGCCCTCTATTCAAGCTGTTTCGTTTGTTTAGATTATTTATTTCTGAAATTAAGCCGAAAGTATAAAACTTCTCAACATTTGAAATTATGAATTTTATCGCTTTCTTTTCGATCTCAGTCTTTTTTTGTTTCAAATAGAGCCATGTTAGGGACCAGTTGAGCAACAAAAAGGCGAAGAACTTTTTACTTGTAGTAACCATAACCCAATCAGGGAAAATGTCCATTTTATCCTAGCTATATTACGCAAGCTGAGCCGAGTATTAAATTACACAGCATCTTTCGAAGTGTCAATGAACAAAGTGAACACTCGTATTTAGGTCAGAATTTTTTTTAAATTGATTAGTCTAAATTTGATTTTCTGAAAAGAAGGTAAGCAGCGCTCTCCAATAATGAGAGCGCAAATGGAGCAAAAAAATGGATTGATTTATAGTTTTGAAAGTTAGTGTGATTTTAAGACTTCCCAGTGGAATAAATAAACACCCGTAGACCAGTCTTCTCTTTGGGTTATTTTATGAAAAAGAGCCAATCATCAAAGGTACTAGACATCTTTTAGACTCATCTCATGGTCTCCTCTGTTGAAAATACTGCGACAGACGTATTTTGACTCTGTTAGCATTTTAAATATCCATCCTAGTGAAAATCAGTATACATACTGTTCATGTGTTTCATCCGCATGTTTTCTAACTTTATTGCTGACTTTTTTTGAAGACTGCCAGATCATATGGCGCAGCTGTCGAGACATCAGACTCTGAATGTGTATATCTCGATGTTCGAAGCGCGTGGGGGGGAGGGGCATTTTTTTACTGTCTTCCCAGCGGAATACATTAATAACCATTGACAAGTTTTCTCCATTTGGATTAGTTTTACGAACAAAGAGCCGATTATAAAAGTTTCTTTAACTTCAAAGAATTTCAACTTGATAAGTTTTTCTTTCTAAAAAAGTCGATCATTTTTGTGTTTCTTGAGTCCATTGACACTTCCATTGTTTGTTGTAACTGTTTAGGCTCTATAGCTCAATAACTCAAATTTTTTACGAGAATTTGGAGAGCGGCACATATTGTTTTTGCTCACTTTATTTCAATTATTACACAAGCATAGCTTATGTTAAAGTATGAACTTTCTTTTTTTCTAACCTAAGTCGCAAATATTGTTGCGATGCAATTGTTGCGACCAAATGTGTTCATTTTGAAAGTGATCATTTTATCTTGCTGGTAAGTACAGCCAATGCTAAGGATATTAACACATACTATTATATTACAAATAGCTTTTTAGCTTCAAGGCATCATGGATCTGTAGCGTAGAGGTAGGGAAGGAGACAAGCAGCAAAATAAGAGGGTTAGAACCTGGCAGAGTCGGATGTTTTAAATGAACTTTTTCGTATACTAGTTTAAATGCGTCCGCTCTATAAATTGAGGCATGTTAGTTGGTAATTTTCTTTTTTCAAATTGACTGGTACTGCCAATGCGTCTTAATTGGCTTGGGTCACTTAGAATTTATGTAGCCTCATGATTGGCGTGCGTCACTTATGAAATTTTGTAGACTCAAAGTCTTACTCATTCAGTTTTTCCCAGTAGCATTATCGGTCATGTTTTTGCTTGTGTATGCGAAGTGAACTTCGCCTCTGTGTTATAATTGCGATAGCAAGTTTGTTGCAATCGGGTGCTAGATTTTCCCCGTAAATAAAATACGCTTGTGTCGGAAATACTGCAACGATGTCTTTTGAGCTGGTTGAATTTCAAATATCCGCCCTACTCACACTAGCGAGCTTGCAAGCGTAGTGTTTTAGTACCAACCTTCTTTTTTTCTAACCTAGCTCGCAAATAAATTAGTTGGCGGCATTTTTGCTATAATCGCCATCTGCAGCATTGGAAGTTTCGTAGCATCTGTTCTCCGCTTTATTTTTGGCTAGTGTTTGTGGTAAGTGCGTGAGAATCATAATATCTAGGTCGCAGATCAAATCCGAGACGTAGCCGAATTTTTACTTATTCGAGGCTTATTTCTACTTTCTTGTCGCACTTTACAGAGCTGCTTTCTTTCGTGTTCTCGCCAGTGTTTGCGAAGCGAAGGTTGGCCTCTGAGGAAATTTGCGTTTTTTTTTTAGTTCCACCAACTCGCTTTGCAAAACTTACTTTTTTCGGCATAATAGTTTTCGATCTATATCATATTGGCTTAGTGGCCTCTTTTTGCTTGTTGTATAAGATCAGTTGTATTTTTCCAGTAAATGTTGAAGTTTTTTTAGGGTCAATTCGTTAGTTCGATTCTTTATGAAGTTTAGTTTTTCAAACATGGCGATTGAAAATAGTAACCGTTTCGTTTGTTTTTTAATGCACATTCAACGCCGCCTGGTAAGTGCTTTTTTTCTACTGATGTATATCCCTAGTTAAGCATATGTAAAGGTACATGTATGAAAATTGTAGGTTGATAGGACTCATTTGTTTGTTGATATTAAGTTTTACTTTTAAATTTTGTGTTCAAGCCGCAAGGTGCGATTTTTTTTTCATTACTTCAAATTCTTTTCAAAGTCTTGTTTCGGCTTCATCTTTTTCTTTTGTCGCTTGTGTTCGCGGCGCACAGCTTCGCCTCTGTTGTTGTTTTTTCATTTTTTATACTAATTTTTAGTCTCAATGAATCTTTTTAGTGTCAATGAGTTCATATCTGCGAATTTATGAAGGCGTGCTTTTCCATTGCATCGACTATCACGCTAGCGGAACTTCAATGAAGCTTAGTGAACAGCTGCAAGTTCAATTTTTTCTTCATCCAAAAAAATGGATTTATTGATTTACGCTTTGTTTTTGTGTGTTGTTTATTAGCCTAGCGATAAGCAAGGGTATTACAATCGGGTACTAGACTTTTTTCCCGTTAACAACTTTGTCCACAGGAATCATAGTACTCGTGATTTACCTTGGTTCATCATGTCTTCAAATTTAGTTGTGTCTGTTGCAAACTTAGCATGGTGTAACGAATACACCTGGGACGGCAAAGGTCTTGGGTTCGAATCCGACCGGGACCAGTTTTTTCAAACGGTAAATATTCCGGTTCAAAAAAGTTTCGGTTTATATTTGTTTTTTGTCTGCTTATGTTTTGTCGGCTTAGTTGCCACATCTAAAAATCATTTTTTTTAGCTGTAAACAATTTTCACTGCAGTTGCTTTGAGCATTTTAAAAATCCGGCCGAATCGAAATTAGCTTAATAGTTATGTTTTTAGCAGCTCGATTTGTCAAAATTTTTTTTCTTCATTTTTTTGTCTCTTGTATCAGTTTAATAATTTTTGGCTCAACTAATACCGACTTAGTAGCCTCTTTTTGCGTCGTTACGACCGAAAAAAGTTAATGTGCGCGTGTGTGTGCTCTGAGCTGAAAGGGGACCTAACATTTTTATAAGTTTAGAATTTTTTGCGGCATGAAGGGTTTCTGCTCGTCTATTTTCCGCTTTGTTACCGCTTGGTAATTATAAGTTAAAATCCAAAGTAATGAAGACCTAACAACTACGAAAAAGTCCTAACAACTACAGATGTGCATTCGCACATATCCATTTATGAATGCACTTTGGTATATATGCACTTTTTGAGTTCACTTGAAATTCATTTGCTGAAAGTGACACTCTCCAAATACGAACGTGCAAATGGCGCGAAAATTCGTGATTGATTTCTAGTTTCGAAAGGGGAATTTATTTTTTAGATTTCCAGCGGAATAAAAACTTTACTCTTGATCCAGTTTTCTCAAGTTGGGTTAATCTTATCAAAAAAGCGCCAATCAAAATTCGTTCTAGAAATTCAAATAGCTTAAAGAGCATCTATTTTTTTCTTGGAAGTTCGAAAGCTGAGATTTTTTCAACAAAGTCAGTGTTTTTTTTAAATGTTTTCTTGCATTTATTTTTTTTTCCAACCTTCGATTGGCTATGTTTATTTTACATGTTTAAGGAATTTTTTTCTCTTTTTTCCAGTTTGAATTCAGTGTTTATTTCACCAAATGTAAAACAAGCAGCCTAGAAGTGGGAAAGTGTCAGGGTTCCAACAGGGGCTGCAACTTTCATCTCCAAGTATGAATGCCCAAATCCTTTTAAGGTACGTGATACGACGATTTTGCGATTTTTTCAAAAGTTTTCAGAAACTTCAAATTATCAAATAATTTTCAAAACTTTAATTTCCAATCCTGTACTTTGGGGCTGTTAGAGTACTCTCAGGGGTTGCAATTCTTGATTCTAAATGCGACTGCTCAATTGCTTTAAGTATCCGAGATGTGACGTTTCTTAATTCATTCGAAATGCTTCAAAGAACTTGGATATAAAGAACTTCACTAAAATTGGAATTACCAACCCTGTAATTGGGTGCTTTTAGATAACACTCAAAAGATGCAAATCTTATTTCCAATATATGCGGTGTTTTATGAGTTGTTTAAAAGTCGAAGCCCCGGAGGTGCTTTACACGCTAGTTATTTTACATTTTGAATTTTTTTTGTGTTGAATTTTTTCTGCAATTGTATTTTTCGCTTTGTTATCGCTCGGTAACTTTTCTTACAGTGCTTATTTCACATAATATTGTATGGGCATGTTTTGATCAATGTTGGCTTAATTAGGAGTTCTTTCGAGCTATCACTTATTATCAGCATCTTAAAAACAAAAAACATTGTAACTTTTCTAACAATGCTTATTTCACATTTTAATGTATGGATATGTTTTGATCAATGTTGGTTTAATTAGGAGTTTTTTCGAGCTATCACTCATCATCAGCATCTTAAAAACAAAAAACCTTCAGCTTGAAGATAATTACCAAATCCAGTCAATTAAAGAATACAAAAATTACAAAAAAAAGACACTCAGCAAATCTATTCTG